TTCCTAGCATCATGATGTTATTAATACATCACATCCATTTTATCCACATCACTTTTCCTGGTTTGGCTACAGGCACAGATTAATAGTTGTCTTTGCATTATGCAGTGGAACTTAATTTCTAGTTGAATGTTTAACACAATTGTAATGATTTTATTGCAATTAAGAGTGATAAATGTTTCCCTCCCAGTCTCAAAATCAATATTCACAAAGTGTAGGAGATAGACGGGAAGAATGCAGTTAGTGGCACTGGGGATTGCCAAAGAACTAACATGAAAGAAAGCTGAGTGGCACTCACACTGGTAAGCACCTACTATGTGTTGCATACTTGCTAGGTGCTTTCTACAACAGAAATGGCAATATCAGAAGTAATAACAGAAATAACTAACATTTATTTCACACTTATTGTAAGGTAAGAATTTTCCATACATATCTTAAATATCCCCACTCCTTCTATAAAACAAATGGTATTTCTCTTTCTGCTCCTCCTTGAGGATAGGAATCTGAGCTTCCAAGAAGTAACTTTCCTATAATTATAAAAGTGGTGAATGGAAAACTTAGGACTTAAAGTCAGGTTCATGCAATGCCAAATCTCCAAAAATTTAACATGCATTTTTACTAGCTTTTTATCACCTCCTAACAAATTACCACAAATTACCCACTCATTTTTCACAGTTCTATTGCTCAGGATCTGGGTAGGCTCAACTGGATTCTCTGCTTAAATTCTCACCAGTTAATTCAAGATGTCAGCCATACTGGGCTATCAGAGAAATTCAAGATGAAACACTGATTCAGTTTGTTGGCAGAAGTCAGTTCCTTGATATTATAAGATGAAAGATCAAATTTCTTTGCTGGACATTATCCAGGGTCTGTTCTCAGCTTCTAGAGACTTCCTTCTATTCCTTGATACAGAGGAACCCCCACCTTTCTGACATCAGTGGTGAGCTGAATCCTTCCCACAGTTGAAATCACTTTGAATTCTCTTTACATGACCTGCTGACAATCTTTTTTGCTTATATACAATTCATGAGATTCTCAAAAGAATATCACTTTTAATAAACTCAAAGTCAACTGAAAGTAACCATAATGACATCTGCAAAGTCCCTTTGTAATATGAACTAAAACACTCGTGAATGTGATATCACATCACCCTTCCAGTTCAGGAGAAGGCAAAAAAAAAAAAAAAAAATCTTGAAATTCGATGACAATCTAGTCACAAATTTGTCAAGAAAATAGTTTTTACATCAAAGTAATGAGAAAAATCAGGTTCCTTATGCAGAATGATCACTGGAGAAGAAGCAGTAAGGTGTACAATTCATCACATGATGATAGTGTCTTGTATATTAGTGGACTTTGTAACTCTCCTCATTGGACCATGCTATAGTCACAGTGGTGCTAAGATGCACCATGTACTCACCTGCAGGTCTTGGCAGGTAAATACTTTTCTCTGCCTAGAAAGTCCTGCTCTGTGTATGCTTGGCTAAGACTTATTTTTTCCTTCAGATCTTACTGAGAACCCTGTCGTTCAGGAATCACACCCCATTCTAACCACAGAATGTATCTTTCCTTAACCCATTTTAACAGCATGTATTAACCTGTGCTAAGGGAACGCCTGTCTACTTACCTGCCCCTGCCCACTGATACAGACTGCTTTGCTGCTGGTCTAGCTATCTTTACATAGCTTTCAATTCCTTTATGGTTTAGGGTTTTTGAGCAAATCAATTTCTTTTGGTTAAAAAATAAATAAATAAAAATTCAACCCTCAAAATGAGGGTGCTAAGGGAGTATAAAATACCAGCACAAGAGCCCTACTTGTCTCTACAACACTGCAAAGATCCTCATTAATGTTATGACCTTCATAGGAAGAACAGACCTATGGCTAATTACATCCACCTTTTCCTTCTCACCTATCATTTTGATGCAAATTTGACTAAAGACATAATCTGTAACAGAAAAGATATTTAGAGCACCAAGGATTCATGGATCATTTGTCTTTGGACTTTGTGGGTTGCTTTTGTTAACAAACCACACTAAAAATGAAAATTTAAGAGGAAACTTTGAGAATCCATGTACAAATGTATGTCATGAAAGCAAATATTGGAGAAAAATATCAAATAAAAAAATAAAACTCCTAACCAGGAGAGTTGAACTCCTACAAAGAAATTATATTTCTAAAAGGTTATTATCAGTTTGAGAGCTAAAAACTGAGAAGAATTATTAGACTGAAAGTAAAAAAAAAGATTAGCTATCTAGAAGCAAAATGATTGCAGTAGCAAATCTTCACAATTAAACATTCAGTCTTTTGGCCACAGTGATGAAAAGAAATATCCTGGAACCATCTGGACACATTTTTATAAAAATATAAAGATATAAAAGCATTAGGAAATTATTAGGATGCAAGCTTTAATTGTTTGAGTGCTGACATCTACAGAAGGAATAAGTCCTACATAAAAGTTGGTCAGAGAAAAGAGAAGAAAAAAGTCTGATTTCTGATTATGTTTTCCTCTCTAGCCCCTACAGAATTACCTCTGCTTGGAGATATCTAAAATTCCTCAATGATCTAATAGTTAAATATGTAAATTAGGTAAGATAAACTTGGGAAGTAAACCAAAACTTCATGTGGGACAATTTGAACCAATAAAGCATAGAAAAAAGTAAACATTAACAGTTTTATGGCTAATATGATTCCTCAGTGCAGCTCAAATTGAAACTTAAGATTTAAAATGAATTATTGCTTTTTCTAGTATTCCACCAAATGCCAGTAAAGACATAGGAAAGGACTAAGTCAGAAAACAATACTACCGGGCACACTACAGCCAGCCTCTGGGATATTACGTCACTAATTGCAAGGTTGATGGTGGAGACTGAGAGAGATCTCCACGTCTCACCTGGCCAGCCCCTGTGCAATGACAGAAGGTACCAGGTGCCTCCTTGCTTGGTTTGTGTCCTTTGCTTCAACCAAAAGATATGTGTTAGAGCTAATTTTGAGGTTCAGAGAATCAATGGAAGATTAAAAAGCTACCCTTGAAAATGGGCAAGGCCCAAACTGGCACCAGAACACATCTGATGATGAAGAGGGATGCTCATGAGGCCAACAGCTGAAGGGAGGGGGCTCCCAGGCGCTCCGTTCAATTCCTCCTCCTGCTGATTGGCCTTCTCTATCATTGTGCCTGTATGTAGGCCCAGGAGGAAAAGCCCCTCTGACTACTGTCCTATAAAATGATCTCCAGTGTCATCACACTGAAGTCAGACTAAAACCCCCAAATCTTCACGTAGCTTTCAGGGAATACATGAGCAATCTTCCCATCCTGATCTTCTGTTTGCTCTGTTCCCTTCACTGGGGGCCGTCACTCATTGTCCTGCCCTAGAACTCACCTACTCCCTGCTTCCTTTGCCCCGGAAATCCCCTGGCTCACTCCACAAGCAACCTGAAATCCTTGCTTCAGTCTCTGCACAAGGATACTGCCTCCTCGCCTTATCTCATTCTCATCCTCACGAGTTCTCTATCACATATTCTGTTTTATGTTTTTATAGTAACCATCAATATCTAGAATTACCTTAATTACTTATTTGCTTACTTCATTATCTGCCTGGGCTTCCTTCACCTGTGTGTCCCGTTGCCCAGAACAGTGTTCCTCCAAGAGTACGACCCTCAGCAACTATTCATTAACATGGACACAGCTATGGATTCCTTTTTATGAACTGTGAGGCAGGCAGGCTGTACCTAGAAGAAGCTCTTTTCCAAACTGATTGCAAATCAACTATCATAAGATGATAACAGCTAGAATGAAAAGTCCTTTCCATGAAAGCTCTGAAAACAGTACAAACATTCTTAAACATTTATAGCCCTAAAATTTCTCTGGTATCTTTCTCCAACAACCTGAATAAGTATTGCTTTAAAGTTCATTCCAACTGTCACCAGGGAAGCTAGGAACTCAGATCAAGGGGCTTTTCCTGGACAGTCCGTCTTTACGAAGGGTGAGACGGCGAGAAGCATTGCCAAAAAGATTCTCCCAGGAAACTTAACGAATATCTCCCCTGGTAATAAATAAATAGTTCAGCTGGGGAATTGTAATTGTGTGTATAATGCAGCTCAGATATAGAGCATAATTACAGTCCAGAATCCATACAGTAATAAAAAGCTTCAGTCAGGGAAAAGAATGCTTGTTTGCCATGGTTTGACAGGCAAGCAACAAACAAAAACCACTTTTTCACCTTTTATTCAATAAAAATCAGCATATTAAATATTCAAACTGAGTGTCTCCATTAAGCACCTCACTCCTACCTCTCCTCCCTCTTCTCTCCCTACCTCTTCTTGTTTTGTTTTGATCAAGTCAGGGAGGGGGAAAAAATAAAAGCAAATCCGTGATGTGATTTTTAATGAAGCTTCTGTGCGAAGTGCCTCTGCATTCAGGACAGCCTCACTGTCCCCAGGGGTTCAGAGACCCAGGACCCTGGCTGCAGGACCCTTCAAGAGGGAACACAGACAGCAGGAAAAACTCATTTTCAATCAAGAGTCCTGAAGATAACATTACTGGTGGGGAAGGGCAACTGCGTACCGGAGAAAGAAAGGTGAAGTTCCTTCCACGACAAAGACCAGTAAGAAATGGCACCTGGCCTGGAAACATATTTAAGCAGATGCTATGCACTGTGAACTGTGGCTAATGCAACAGCTGCAAATGCAGCGTGGAATAAAAGAACCAGGGCAAAGGGGAGAAAGGTTAAAAGGCTGGGGAACTAGATCAGAATGATTAAGTGAGAAACTGACATACATCGTGAGCACAATTGACTAGTCTCTGAAAGACCCTGAGAGGAAATTAGAATATTTTCTTGGACAACCAAATTGCCACCTGCCTCTTTCATTTCCTCCCACTTGGAAGAAGCCACAGACCTCTCTATTTTAATCTTCCTCGGGAAGAAGAGATTACAGGCAGACAAGAGGAAGAAAGGGCTTTGGAAATGTCACTTTCCCTGGCATAAAGGCAAAACAATAAAAAAATTACCATGATTCTTTCTCAGTCCTGGTAGCAGCAACAAGCATTAACCCGGACTCTGCCTCTGATATTGATGGGCAGAGGCAAGGGGCATGGATCCGGCAGGACCGTGGGAGGCCCGTCCTCTCTATGCAGGAGGATGAGGTCAACGGTAATGAGCAATGGCGAAGCGGAATGGAAGCTGCAAAAATTTATGAAGTTGTTTCTGCTCAGTGAGCAGATTCCAGATAAGTGGAGTGTTAATAAGGCAGGCGAGGTTTTCAGCTGTGCCAGCTGTTACGAAGACGCTGGCATGCTCTTAACCCAGTATTTATTGGATGCTACTCATTGCTGTGACAGCACACATGCGTACACAAGCGTGTTTATTCACAACATGCATAATCACTCTGCCACAACACAGACGCTAATCAGCGGCCTGGCTCACAAGCAGAGGGGCATATCTAAAACCCAGGCCCCTAAGGGAAACTTTCAAGAGAGCTCCCTTTCACTAGAGAGAGTGGACCCTGCTGCGGTAATGGACTATGACTTCTGAGCTGTAAAGAAATGGGGGAGAGGGGCACGCTGTTTTACCCAGAGCGGGAATTTATGAGGAATTCAACCTGAAAAAGCTGCGTAATTCAGTCACAGTATCCTATAAATTTGGAAAGGTAAAACTGAATTGTTATTACATGCGATTGTAGGGCTTTAAGGAGCTTTAGTGGTCTCCGAACACCATGAGAAATGTATCTTGTAGAATTAGTGACAGAGGGGAAGCCAGGCATCTCAGTGACAAACTGAGCTCCTCTGAATATGTATGTAAACTACTGAAGATTCTGTAACACGAAACAAAATGACTCTTCACACATACGTAAAGAACAACAGGAAAATTGGCTGAGGAGAAGACTGGAAAAACCATAGGCAGGTTGGAATGGAAAAAAGAATTTTATTCAAGAAGACTATTTATGATGAGGATGCAGGGAGGAGTGGATGCCAACTGGTTACCAGCCAGATACCAGCTACATCAGATACTCCATCTCTTAAACATCCTGACCACCTCCTTTCACAGAGAAGGGGCCTGGGGTCAGAGAAGTTAAGATGTGCCCAAAGTCAGAACAACTTGGTAAGTGGCAGGACAAACTGTCCGCCACAGCTCTGGCTAAATGCCAAACCCACGCTCTCCTGAGTACCTGCTCCAAACTGTCCAGGCCCCGGGCAAGAAGAAATTTATTAAAGAGTCAAGTTGAACCTAATGTGGGGTGACTTTAGAAATAAATTTAGAGTGAACAGTCTACTAAAGGAGAACTAGCCCCACAGATGAATTCGTGATATAAATTCTATGAGCTATGACTACAAACTGAAGTCAAGAGGCTGACTTCACAAGCCTTCCCTGATGGCCAGTACTTTACACCCTCATGTCCCCCTAGCTGTGACCACATCACTCACAAAGACAGCCTGTATCTGAGCACAACCACCTGCTCCAGCACCAGGCCAGGCCTCCATTTTCAGTTGTGCTACCAGAGCTGAGCCCCTAATTCATCTTTTTTTTAATCCCTGATACCTCCTATTCTTTCATTATGTCTTTGTCCTGATATGTTTAAGTTTCTAAGGAAACTCTGTGGTTCTGTAATATGTCAAGCTTCCCAGTACTATTTGACACTGGTAGAGATTTCTGGAAACACAAAACTTAATCCCAAATGAGTGACCGTGTCAGTGAAATGACATGTGTGACAGAGGTATGGACCACTTTGCACAACGAGCTGTAGACATATTTCTAGATTTCGCGCTACCAGCATTGTACTGTGCCTTCTTAAGCAAGTCATCTAATCTCTTTGGGATTCTATTTCCTACACCATAAAGCAAAAGGAGGTACTGGAAGTGTGCACTGCTATTAACCAGATGCACTGCTATTCCAGGGACGGAAGGAAACATGAAGGCCAAGGTATTTCTGCTTATCACAATTACTGGGAGAAACTAACCCATCTCAAATACCCAAGCCCCCGGTAGAGGATCACTGGTCTTGATCTCTTTAACTTCTGCTCCACTCTGACATTCTATTGATCCACTGGGAGAAGGACAATTGGATAGCAATATCATTCTCTGATTCTTCCCACATCTTATCAGAAAGCATCCTAAAGGCAAGGTGTCCTATTATCTTTTATGGTCTAAAACCAGGATAGAATACTGTAAATCAAATACTAGTCCAATGTACTCCCCGGACAGAGACAGCTCAGATACCCAGAAGACAATCCTTTTCTAAATCACTGTTACTGCTGCTGCTGCTGCTGCTGCTGCTGCTGCTGCTGCTGCTGCTGCTGCTTACAAAGATTAGCATTTTTCTCTATAATTACCTCTGACTCCCCAGTTTTCTGCTCTCCTTTCTGTGCATCCTTTTGTATTTATAATCGGCTTTCTTCAAATGTTTGGAATCATTATAAATGGCAAGAGGGTCTTTAGGTCTTTCAGGAACAAGCAAATAGATGCTCAAATCTTGGTGCCCTGCACATTTTATGTCTTTCACAGATCTGTGTCTGCCACACAGCGTGTAACTTACAGGAAGGAAACAGAACGTGTGTTATAGAAACAATACAGATACACAGATATTCCAGTCAACCCAGGCACATTTATTCAGCAAACTTCTTTCTAGCTTTTTCACTTATTGCCACCAGTGAATCCAAATTAATGATCTAGCCAAAAATCTTACGCTGTTAGAATCATAATTATGTTAATCTTTGTCTCAAAGCCATCTTTGATTCTTCATAGTTATAGAAATTTTCAACTTTTCCCTCACCCTATCTTTTAATTTCTGAATCCTCCTGGTGTTGGCGTTCCTGATCATCTACATTTCTAACTAGCTGGCTCCTCTCTCTGGGCTTCTCCCTTCAACTATTACATATATTATACCTGCAAAACACTTACTATCCACTCATTTTAAGGAGCTTCTAAAGAGTAGATAATCAACTCAGGAGACCAAACCATGATCACAGCATCTTCTCATTTATCTAAGCCCATCTGGCAAGTCAAGGAATCTGCCCCCCCTTCACCCTTAGCAGTCTATGAAGGAGAGATGGAATGTGGAAGAGTTAGCATTACAACTGGGGAAGAGTACTCCTGTGGGCTAGTTCCCAAAGATCATGCGTTGATGGCCTGATCCCCAATATAAGCGTTTAGAGATGGAACTTAAGGAGGTGATTGGGTCATCAGAGAACTAACACCGTTAATGCATTCATGATCTCATAGCTGAATGAGTTTTTCAGAAGTAGCACCTAGCTGAATGAAGAAGGCCACTGGGCAAGTATTTTTGAGGTGTGTATTTTTTGCCCTTAGTCTCTCTCTGTCTCTGCTGTTTTTTTTCTATCTCTCTGTCTCTCTCTGTCTCTGTCTCTGTCTCTGTCTCTGTCTCTCTCTCTGTCTCTGTCTCTCTCTCTGTCTCTCTCTGTCTCTCTCTGTCTCTCTCTCTCTCTCTCTCTCTCTCTCTCTCTCTCTCTCTCTGCTGCTGTCTCGCTCTCTCCCTTGCCATGACGCCACCAGGAGAATAGTTTTCCTCCACTATGCCCTTCTCCCATGTCGTCTGCCTCACCGTAGGTCTAGAAGCAGCAGGTCAGCTGACCATGGACTGAAGCTTCTGGAACCACGAGCCAAGACAAACTTCTCCACTTTTCAATTGCTTTTCTCAGTTATTTTCTCACAGCAACAGCAAAACTAATGCAGATAGCAATCTAGGGATCATCTTGTGCCATCTTCTGATCTTGCTTTTCCTCTGAAGGTATTTTTTTTACAGACAGAAAAAATAAGTAAACAGTGGCTTTAAAATATTTCTCTGATACAAGGATACCAGCAGCATTACCAACACCCAACACTTATGATAAACCCAGCTGACAGAATAACAACTTGGAACAACCTCCATTTAGGTTGGAAGAGAAGAAAAATAGAATGACTAAGCAATTCAGTGGCATTTGGGAGCAGGAGGGCCTCTACAAGAAACTTTACTGAAAGAATAGTCAGTGTACTGGAGTTGGGTCCTTTAGTTAAAGTCCCAAATGCAATAGCCTAGGAGGAAGCACCTGTCCTTCAAACAAAAAAGAGCTTCCAGTGTTGGTCACATAATACGACAGGACTTGGCTAGGGCTCTCAGGGATCATTCCAACATTGAAGTGAGTTCCTGGGAGAACACTATCTAAGCCATCATTTGTACATAGAGTCAGTATATAGATCTGAAAATATTCCTCAACTTCTATTAGTACTCATCAAAGACTTAAAAATCTATCAGAAAACTCCCCTTCTTCCTCTAACTAAAATTGTTTCTGTTCCACCCCCAAATCCATTTATGTAGGGATTTTCATTGCTCAAAAACATCTCCCTTCTAGTTTGCCTAGTAATGTAATTTTCCCTAAAGGGTCTTCCATTTAACATTTATCTCCTAGATTTCCACATCCCTTGATATAAGAGATAATATGGTAGCTGTGGGAATCAGAACTCCAAAAGGAAGAGAGTCGTTTGTAGTAGAAGTGGGAGTTGGGTGGGTGGAATGAGGATAAAACGCCATAATGAAAAGCAAGTTTGATTTGAAGTTGATGCTCCACTTCGGTCTAGCCAATTTAAAATTATTTGTCTTGCAGAGGAAATGCAGACAAACCAAAGACTGAGTCACCATTACCTCAGGCAATGTTTTAACTGAGCAACCACAATTATGAACACTAAAAATGACTCACTTGTGGATTTCCTGGAACTTCATTCTATGAATTGTTTTCTATATATAGAGAAGTAGAATTTTGAGTTGGATTAGAAATTGTTTTATCTGGGGTCCTTTCCTTAGAGAAATCTGACTATACTCCCAACACATAGATCTACAATCCTTGGCTTTAACACCATCTGAGAACACAATCAATTCTATCCCAGAATAAATGCAATTATTAAAAAAACAAAATTTCCTTGATCTTGATCGGAGATATTCATATTCTCTCTCAAAACTTACACTATTGGCCTTGACTACCCTGGAGTAATATTAATACAAACTCATCTTCTGCCTCCTGGGGCTTGTCAATGTTTTTTAATAACTGAATCCCTCTTCAGACCATTCTGGTGAAATATGCCATATGGCTGCAACTATTTCTCATACTAATGATTTCCAGTCTTCATTATTTCAATTAGTATTCTCGGGGCAGATCTCTGTGAAAAAACAGTG